AAGAAAATAGCATTTCTTTAGAACCTTTGAGCATTGAATTGGATAGTGGAGGGGAGGATACTGCGTCGTTTTTAGTTGTGGTGAGGAAACTAAGTAATTTGTGGAGTTGCTGGATTATAAGAGTAGCTATGACCATATCTTTGTGTTGAACTGTAGTCCTGATTCTATCCATGTTCAACTAGTGCTGCCACTTTTGTCATTCTTCTACATTTATTTTAGCCCCATTTTGCTGTGCGTCATAATTTCTCAGAAATTTTCTTGCGCAGAAGCTTAGCTCATTAACTATATGTTTTCCCTTAAATGGAAGCCAATTTTCAAAACATAGAATAGGGCATTTCCATTTGTGGCTAACAGGTATAGCTGGAAAGCCTGTGGCTGCTTTCATTCCAGATGCTTTTCTTTCGTCTGTCTGATGTCCATGTGAGAACACTTCCACACTATCCAGACGTCTACAGTCTCCTTACTCTCCTCTCCCCCTCCCCAACTTTCTTGTCATCAGGCATCAGGCCTAACATTTCGAGCCAGTTTGGGATTGTGTTAATAACCCAATCATTGCTTCATTTTTAAATATTATCCCCAAATACAGGAACTATCTTACTTAAAAAGAACTTACTTAAACTAAATGATTAAGAACAGTAATGAATTAATGAATTACACACTATTGGGGGAAAATAGACATTCATGAGTCTATACCAGTAATAGATAGATAGATGCATGTATGCATGCATACATACATACATACAATACATACATACATAGATGGATGGATGGATGGGGGAGGAAGAAGGGTTCTTATTACCAGAAGAATGCCAAAAGACCAACTGGTAAATGTGGAGGGAGTGCTAAAGTTGGAAAATCATCATTTTAAAACCATCATGGAAAAGATGGGATCAAGCAAGAGTCATCAGTGGCTGCTAAATCTAGGGAGAAATGATGAGAAGCAGGATGTTTGCATGGCCTTTAATTGTCTCCCCTTAGACTGCTTTTTAATTGTAAGGGAGAAAAACAAAACAATAATTATACAGTATGGAGAAATAGTCCAGGTGATCAAAATTAACATCACCAATGAAAGACAGGTAGACTCTTGTGTCGACAGATGTTAAACTATGAGAACACATCACCTATTCATTATTCCCACCAAGAATACATAACCTGAATCTACATCTCGAGGAAACATCAAACACAAAATGACAAACCTTCTGCTAAATAAAGGAGGGAGGGTACTGTATACTTCAAAAATGGAAATGTCATAAAAGACAAAGGCTGTGGAAATATTCCAGATTAAAGGAGAATTAAAAGATATGACAAATAAATGCAGTATCTGACCCTAGACTAGATCCTATAATGTTGGAAGGAATATACTATAAAGAATATTATTAGATAAACTGATAAAATCAGATGGTAGATTAGATAAAATTTATGAAATTGATAACCAAACTGTGGTTATGTGAGAGAATATTTTTATCCATAAGAAATGTTCACTGAAGTATTTAAGGATAAAGAGTCATGATGTGTGTAAGTTACTCTCAAATACTTCAGAAAAATATTACGTGTGTGTGCAATTGTGTGAATGTGCAAATAATAAAGAAAATGAGATATAACGTAAACAATATGTAAATCTAGGTAAATATTGTAAATATGGGTATATAAGTGTTAATGTACTTTATTTTTACAACTCTTAGTGTTTGATATTGTTTCTTTTTTTCTCTTACTCGTTTTTTTCCAGTTTTATTGAATATAATTGACATACAACATTATGTAAGTTTAAGGTGTACAACATTAATGATTTTATATATGTATATATTGCAAAATGGTTACCATAATAAGTTTAGTTAACATCCGTCACCTCACATAGTTCCAAATTTTTTTTCCTTATGATAAAAACTTTCAGGATTTAACTCTTAGCAACTTTCAAATGCAATTATGCTTCACTTAACGACAGGGATACTTTTGAGACATGCTTCATTAAGCAGTTTTGTCATTGTGGGAACATCGTAGAGTGTACTTACACAAACCTAGATGGCATAGCCTACTACACACCTAGGCTATATGGTACTAATCTTATGGGACCACCGCCACATATGCCGTCCATCACTGACCGAAACGTTGTTATGCAGCGCGTGACTGTATACGATACAATATTGTTAACTGTAGTCATCATGTTGTACATCATATCTTCAGAACTCAATTATCTTAAAACTGGAGGTTTGTACCTTTTGACCACCTTCAGCTACTGATATTGTTTCTAAATAACTTTTCCAAATAAAAAAATAATTTAAAAAAGAGTAATTAAAGCTTTTGTCCCCTTCCATTAGAATTAATGGCCAAACCTGTGTCTTTTAGAGAAATAATAATTTTAAAGTCCTACCACATGACTACTTTAAATATTCTATTTTTTATTTTTTATACCTATGATTTTTTATATGTCTTAGATATATGCTTACTGTTTGTTTTGATAAAAAGCCTCTGGATTAGGCATATCATGGAATATAAGCAAAACAGAAAGACACTGAGAAATCAGTTGTGAATCCTGGTACCACATTAGCAGAACATTTCCTAGAGCAGTGCTGTCCAGTAGAACTATCTGTGATGGTGGAACTGTCCTAGAGTGGTGATTAATGCCTGGATATGAGAAGTTTATAAGTTCCCGTAATAAGTTGAGTATTTACAGACATGAACTGTAGGATCCCAAAAAGGAAACCCCAACTCCAGTCTCGGGAAGGCGCGGACCCACAGACACAGAAGACCAAGCTTGATGCAAACGCAAGAGGTTTATTAAGCGGAGCTCCTGGTCGACACGTATCTCTCGCAGGAGACAGAGGAGTCGACCCCGGACCTTAAAGGGCAAACTCTTATATAGGGTTTGGAAGCACAAAGCGGGAAAAGGTTGGCGCGGTCTTACATGATTGGCTAATTTAAAACATTTAAACAGTTACATTTTATGGCGCGAATTGCTATGGCGCGAAGCGATTATCAGGTTACACACATGCGTCCCCATCTGGACCCCCTCCACCCCTACCCTCCCAAACTTATCCCTCTGGAGCACTCTCTTGTTCTCAATTCTTCCCCGAACAGTTTAGGGTGGGTCTTCCATGAATAGAGTCAGTCAGGATCGATAAACGTTCCCCCTTATACCAGGAATCCTTAGGGCGTGGAGGTGCCTGTCTCTAAGGTAGTAACTTTTTAATATAATTTTTACTTCCTTCAGAACTAGTCATGACTGGGCTTGTTAGCTTAAGTGAGATCTGTCCTTCTCAGAGTCTGTGGTATATTGCATATGTTTTTACCTTTCCGCTAGTTGAAAATTTTATTGTTGAATAATGGTAAATCATACCCAGTGAAAAGTTCAATGTCAAAATTAAATATAATTATTGCAAACCTGCTTTTTACAGGTTAAGACATTGGCCACCAAAAACCCAAAGTAGATGCAGGACTTCCCTTTTATTGACTTTCTCTGATTAAAGAGACAGAATGGATATATGGGGAGGAGAAGGAGGAAAGAAGGGAAAGAAGGATAGATAGTTGGATGGATAGGAAAACATTGCAAGATGTTCTATTCTAAATGTCATAGGAGGGATACATTAAGTCTCTTTTGTCAAACGTGAATAGACTTGATGTTATCTAAGGTTCCTTCCTGCTCTAACTTTTGTTATGCTAAATCTTAAGAATACTGAGCAGGAGGAAATCTCTGAGAGTGGAGTAGTCAGATTAATTTAGGATTTGGAGTTCACTGTTTGACTTGTATTGTTATGTGATCTTAATCTCCCAGGCCATATGAATAATTTCTGTCTTGCTAAGTAAATTTATTTTATTTCAAATGGAGTATTGATTAAAAGAAAGCTCTGATAAATACTTCCTAGAATGTGGTATCTTCCTGGTTACTTTAATAGCGTTTTTAAGAGTGATTGTCATGTTTTTTAATCAGTCAGATGTAAATATACTACCTATGGAGGCAACATGTTAAGAGAGTAGGCTAGAAGGAAGTATAAACATAAAAGATAACTTATGTGTCTCCCCAAATACAGCACTGTTTAGCACTAAAGCCTGAGTCCATTATTCCTCCATCTTTCACTGTCTATCAGTAAGGCCTTTCATTGGCATTGAGAGGTAATACTATTCTAATTGGTTAGCCAACCATGTTGGTAACTTCAGTTCCTCCAGACTGAGTCAAGACACTAACTTTTTAAGTTTAATGCTCTGTTGCTTTGTAAATCTATTGGTCTCTTTGGCTTACACCTTTGCACAGTGTTCATAATTCTCAAAATATGTGTAGGCTTACACAATTTTGCTCTGCTTTGGGCATGAAATAAGTGTTTGATGAAAGCTTGCCTGCTTGACAGGTTGAATGACTGCTGTTTTTTCTTCTTCTCTCACTCTGCTATGTAAATGATTCTTGCTTGGTGCCTCTTCTCTCAGAAAATTTGTCTGAGTACTCATAGCACCATCTCATAGAGGAGGACCACCCAACTGGAATTATGTGCCACATTCATGTCACTTTTTTTTAAAGCAAGGGACCACATTAATCTATTAAACCCAGAAACCGGGTTTGTTAGTGTTCCCATGACCACCCCACTAGGGGGTGATTTGGTGATGGACTAGGAGGATCCACAAGACTCAGCACATAGTCATATTCACAGCTAAGATTTATTACAGTGAAAGGATATAAAGCAAAATAAACAAAAGGAAAAGGTACATGAGGTGACCTCTGGAGGAAACCAGGTCCAGTCTTACAAGAATCTTGTCCAAGTGGTGTCACACAGGATGCACTTAGTTCCTCCAGCTTTTAGATATGACAACATACATGAAGTTTTCTCTACCAGAGAAGCTCATTAGAGACTCAGTGCCCAACGTTTTTATTGGAGGCTGGTCCTGTAGGCACCCTCTGTCTAGCATGTACCAATTTCCAGACTCCCAGAAGGAAAGCAGATGTTCAGCGTAAACCATATTGTTTGTACAAACCATTTACGCGCAGTAAAATACCCTTATCATTTAGGGAATGGTGGGCATACTCCCCAAATCCAGGTTCCCAAAATGCCAGCCAAGGGCCAGCCTTGCAAGCAGGACTTTCTAAGGATAGCAATCTCAGGCCTGCTATGTTGCCTTTTGTCTGCATCTGGATATGCTTCCATCAACATTCAGACTTGGAACTTTTAACCCATTTTTAACTTTCCTTATGTCTAGTCTCTTTACTGTCTTGTTGGTAATTAGTATCACTTACAGATTAATAGAAATACAGTGTACTATACTTCTACTCTTTTGCCTAATGGGACCATTTCTATTTCTGGTAGGCTAGAGCACCAAATCTTCTTTTCTCTCAATCCTTGCCACTATTTTTTCTTTTTGGGTTTGCTTTGCTCAGTTCTTCAAGAGTATGGTCTCATAGTTGCATCTGAGCATTTAACCACAGATCTCTTTCTCCCTCAAAGTTGCAAACTAGTATTGCTTTACAAGAAGATTACGTGACTAGCTATCAATATGCTTCTCAATTCTTAGAAACCTTAGAGTTGAACCTACAGGACCATAAAGATGCCCTTATGTCTATCATAGATACAAATTGTAGATGTTACATATGCAGACTGAGAAATAAATTGCAACATTTAAATCAATGTCAGGTTTAAATCAGTGTCAACTCATACTTCCAAGTGACTTAAGAGTTTAAGAATAAGGAAAATTTTTTATTCTGCAGGTGGAATCACAGTTAAAAGCATTTGAGTAGAGATACTAGGAAAGAGACATGGAAATGATGTAACTGTGGGAGTTCAGAGAATAGGAAGTAGATGATGTTGCCCTAAAAACAGAGTAAAGGTTAGCATAGAAATAAGATAGTAACAGGGACTTCACATATATAATATTGGGCATATGCTAACAGTCTCGTTGCAAATTTGGAACATGTAATGATGTTTGGCCTAAATGAAGGTGAGGAGGTAATGAGAAGTGCTGTTATTTTGGACTAACAGGGAAACCTAATTGATGAGGGGCAAGTGATAAGAACTTTTCAGAATAATGACCATTTCATTTTAGAATTCATATTAGTAAAATAACAACTGGGAATAGTTCCTGTTCCTATCAACCAGAGGGGTAAAATTCATAATTCATGGAACGTTAGGTAGAGTATTCCAGTTAGATCTTATCTTATGGATTATAGACCTAAATGTAAAACTTAAAACTATAACACTCCCAGAAGAAAATAGGAGAAAATCTTTGCAACCTTGGGTTAGTCATAGATTTATTAGTTACAACACCAGAAGCACAATCGATAAAAGAACCAATTGAGAAGTTAGACTTCATCAAAATTTAAAACTGCTATTTTTCTAAAGACCCTGTTAAAAGAATAAGACAAGCCACAGGTTGAGAGAAAACATTTGGAATATAAATATCTGATAAAGGATTCATCCAGACTATATACAGAACTCACTAAACTGAATAACAAGGAAACAAACTACTGAATTAAGACAATGGACAAAGGATTTGGACAGATACTTCACAACAGATGTATAGATGGCAAATAAGCACATGAAAAAAATGCTCAATATCATTAGTAATTAGGGAAATGAACATAAAAATCACAATAACATATCAATACATAGCTATTAGCAATTTGGCCATTGGCCAAAATTTGAAAAGCTTGTCCTGCCAAACAAAGATGTGGAGGAACTGGAACTCTCATGCACTGCTGATAGGAATGTAAAATTGTACAACCACTTTGCAAAAGTTTATTTAAGAAAGTGCCAAAAATACACCTATATCATCCATCCATTTTATTAGGTATTTACCCAGGAGAAATAAAAGCATATATCCACACACTAATGTTCACAGCAGCTTTTGTTTTTTATAGCGCCAAACTTGAAACAACACAAATGTTATTAGCAGGTTCACTGATAAACAAATTGTAGTTTATCTGTATAATGGAATAGTACTCAGCAACAAAAAGAAACTGCTGATACATGCAACAACATGGATAAATGTCAAAATAATTAAGCTGAGTTAAAGAATCCAGACTTAAAAGATTACATACTGTATAATTCCATTAAGAAAAAGCAAAATAATCTCTAATGATAGAAAGTAGATTAGTGCTTGCCTGGTTGGGCAGGTGCAAGAGTAGGGCAGTGAGTCGAAGGGATTGCAAAGAGACACAGGACACTTTTGGAGGTGATGGATATATTCGTCATCTTGACTGTGGTGATGGTTCCTGAGTATATACATATGCCAAAACTTATCAACTTGTACAATTTAAATATGTGCAGTTTATTGCATGTCAATTATATCTCAATAAGGCTGTTGAAAAACAAAAAAAAGGAACTTGGTGATTTTCCTTTAAAGTTCTAGTTGCCTGGCCTCATTGTGATCAGAGCAAATTCTCCAGCCCTGATTCAGTTTTATCTTTTCCCCTGTAATATCTATAACAGAACATGATATATTTAATACTCAAAAAGAGACTTGGAAGCAGTTAGTATAGCCATTATCCTAACAAACTGTATATTCCTGACAAAGTAGAAGTGTTTTCATTTTAATTTCTTTTTAATGACACATTACACAGGCTTTAAATGTTAGTCTTTGTATTTTCAAACCTGCAGAAACTTGAATGAAGTTTACATATAAGAGCAATCAACTCTGATGGAATAGGCTGAATATCAGTTTCTGAAAATAAGTTTTGTATGAATCTTTTCTCCAGATAATTTGAACTTTAAATGTTTTTAACTGTGACATCTTTGTATAAGTGAATATGGATTGAAGAAGCAGCTATAAAACTTGAAATTTCCGGGTTTCAGTTCTTCTTTAGAACGCCTGTTAACAGGATATAGCTAGATATTGTGCTCACTTCGTTGATTTATTCTGCAATAAATTACTATCATCCAGACCAGTAAATAGACAACCATCACCATGGGTTAGAAATGTTAGGCATTTGGCTATATCTCGGAATACAATTCATGATTTTTAAGTATTGTGTGTGTGTAAAAGATGTTATAAGTGACCATTTGACAAGCCACAGCATTCTACTTCCTTAGGCCATATTTGGGGATATTGATTTATAATTATAGTCTTGCTGTAGGGCTTGCTATTTGGTAGATAAGATATTTTTCTGCTCGTCCCTGAAGGATTCCTTCTGAATGCCAGTTATGAGCGTGAACCTTGGAGCCAAAATGCTTGGGTTCCTATACAGTCAGCTCTACCACTTACTGTGACCTTGGGCAAATTATCTCATCAGTGAGCCCCAGTTTCCTCATCTGCAAAATGGGGGAAATGAAATAAATATACCTTATATGGTATCTGTCAGGATTAAATGAATGAATAAATGTAGAACAAATAAAACTGTACCTTGCATGCAGTAAGTGCTGTATAACAGTTAGCTTCCCAATTGTTATTGTTATAATGGATTTTATTAGGATTGTGAAGTAGATTCTGGTGAACACCAAAAATATCATCTGTTTGGGAATGCCCTTCTGTTTAGTTATTCATCTTTTGTGCTTATGACGTTCAGCCTGAATTATTATGTCAATTTAGGCATCATCACACCTGGTTTTCATTTGTTGGTCCTGAGGTACTAAATTCACCAGAATTGAGTCCTTTGAGAATAAAATTGAGATTAGTGAATAAAGGGCTTTTTCATCTTCTGAAAATAAAATTTTTGTAACCAGCAGTGTTCATTTGGTTTAAAGCACAAGGAAAAAAGGACGGGTTATAAAATGGATTGCTATGTTCAACTGTTATTTGGGTTCATCAGAATCACTGCCTAAGGTGGGATCTATGGTCCATCTAGACTAGCCTTTGCAATTGGATAGTGCCCCAAGGAGAGAACATAGGTAAATCTAGAGGAACTAACAGAAGCCTCTACCGCAATTTTTTTTTTTTTTCAAATTTCTTCTGCTTTTATTCCCATCCAAACATGACTCTGATTTCTTTAAATCATTAAGAAGAGAGATTCTGCCCCAGGAACTCCAGAAATAGCTGGAGAGATTAGTATTTAGTCATTGTGGACACAAGCCAGGAAAGACAGAGGTTTTTGTTTTTAAAGATGGTTTATTGTTAGTATATTACTTTTTAAGATGGTTTATTGTTTCTTTGTTATTCTTAAGCTAATACGTTCTGGTCATAGAAAACTCAAGCAGTTCAAAAATATATGGTGTCTTGGGGCTAGCTTGGTGGCATAGCAGTTAAGTTTGTGCACTCTGCTTCGGCGGCCCGGGGTTCACGGGTTCGGATCCCAGGCGCAGACCTACGCACCACTTATCAAGCCATGCTGTGGCAAGCATCCCACGTGTAAAGCAGAGGAATATGGGCACGGATGTTAGCCCAGCGCCAATCTTCCTCAGCAAAAAGGATGATTGGCAACAGATGTTAGCTCAGGGCTAATCTTCCTCACCAAAAAAAATGGTGTATTAATTACAAGTCCTCTGTATTCTCCTTCCTCAGCAATAGCTATTGTTAATTTCAATGTGTACTACTCCAGGTTTTTTTCTATGCAGATCTAATACTTTTTTAGAAAAGTGGGTTAATACTTTACATATAATTTTTACAACTTTATTTTCTTGCTTAATAATATATATATATCATATACTTTCCAGAGGAGTACTATATGTATTAATCACATCCTTTTTAATGTCCATTCAGTATTTTAGTGTATGGATATATCATAATTTATTTAATCAATCCCTTATTGATATATATTTGAGTTCTTTCTAATTTTCTGCTATTATGAAGAATACTGCAGTAAACATCATTGTACATATAATTTTGAATATGTTTGTAAGTGTTTCTATTGGGTAAATTCCCGAAAGTGGAAATGTGTACTCAAAGAATATAAAAAAGATTTTTAAATGATAGATAGTGCCTATTGAGAGAAAAAAGTAACTCATACATTAATAGTAAATACTGACAATGGGAATGGCAGCCTTTGCTTTGCCCTCAGAGGAGGTAGCTCCTTGTGTAAACAGTTAATAGTGATTTCTAGATCTTCAAAAAAATTGATAGTTCCCCTTACACCTCATTCTTCTCTGCTGTTTCCATTCATGTATTAGCCCTTAATTTATAAAAAAATAAATATTTTAAATTATGAGTAATTTAACTACATTATAGAAAATAATACTAATCGTTGTGTACTTATAATGTTGGATTCTATATTTGTCACTTAACATTATATTTTGGCATATTCTATAATGGCTGCATAGTGTTCTGTCAGGTATAACATGGTTTAATCATTTCACTATAGTTTACAATTAAGATTTAGACTCTGGCTTTTATTATTTGAATCTTGAAAATTTTTCTTCTGTATTAATTCCTTTCTGTGCCGAAAGACTTCTAATAAATATCTTAAAATATAGTTAACAAACTGCAAATGCTTAGTAGGTATATGCCCTCAAAAAAATGTCTTAAGGCTTTACTGAGTGGATTTTTTTTCTCAGGATATTTGACAGCTTTTTTACTGTTCAGAATTTTGGAAGATGAAACCAATAAAATCACTTTCAGTTTCAGTTTTCTATTGCTGCTTGACAAACCACCCTGAAACTTAGACAAACAACTAACATTCTACATTTTGAGCTGGGCTCGGCTGCATGGTTTTTCTGTCTGGTCTTTCCTGTGTCACTCATGCGGCTATATGCAACTGGCATGTTAGCTATGATGCTGGCAGGGCTAGGCCTCTCTTTCTCTCTCCATGTTGGCTCAGGGCCTCTCTCTCCATGTAGCCTCTCCCTGTGGTTCATCCAACAAGGTAGCTAGACTTCTTACCTGGAGGCTCAGGGCTCCCAGAGTGCAAGAATAGGAGCTGCCAGGTCTTTTTACAGATTTGATCCACAGCTGGCAAAGTGTCTATTGGTTAAAGTGTGTAACTGGGTCAGACTAGATTCAAGGGGAAGGGACTATTGGGAGGTGTAGTTGTTTGGGAGCCACCAGTGTAACAGACTGCCACAAATAGCATCTCATAGTCATTTTCATTTGTATTTCTCAGCTTACTCGTGGAGTTGAGCATCTTTTCATATGTATATTGTCATTTTCCTTTTCTGTAAAATGCTATTCAAATTTTTGCCCACTTTCCTTTTGGGTAGTTTGTCTTTTCATATTCATTTGTAGAAGTTCTCTACATAATCTGGATGTTAATCCTTTGTTGTTATATATGTTACAAATATCTTTGGCCAGTTTATGGTTTTATCTTTCACTGTCTTTATGGTGGTTTTCATAAATGGGAGTTCTTAATTTTAAAATAGTTGAATTTATCATCTTTTATGATTTGTGCTTTTTGGGTCCTTCTCTCCTCCAAGGCATAAAATATTCTTGTTTGTTGCCTTCTAAATGTTTTATAGTTCTGTCTTTCACATGCATGTTTATAATTCACCTGGGACTGATTTTGGAGATTGCTGTGAGACAAGAGTCCAATTGCTTTTTTTTTTTTCTTGTCACATGTGGCCTTTCTTTACACTTTTGGGTTAGTTCCACTGTTTCTTAAATGCTGTATATTCCTCATTCCTGGATCCCTTTTTTATTTTTATTTCCACAGCCATGCAGCAGTTTTGGAAATAACCTACTTATGAGGAAATCAGTATTTAACTGAGCATTTCTACAAATAATATGACGGTTGTAATTCTCTGGTGAGGAATTTGAGGAACACTTGAGCCAAGACCTCAAATATTAGAAGCCAGCCATATGAAGAGTTTGAGAAGAATGTTCTAGGCAGAGGGAACAGCAAGTATTCCTACCAATTGGGAGAAAGAGGTACTTAGAAATGTAGTAAAAATGAAAAGCTGAACAAGAAAGTCGTGATTTAAAATGAAGTAAACTAAAATGAGGCGTGATTCTGAGAGGTTGAATGTTAGAAAATCAATGCCATTGACCTCTACACTTAGGACACTCCCTTTCAGGCATGGGGTTTAGTGACAATAGGCTGACAGTCTTACTTTCTATTAATCTACTCACATCCTGTTTCTGCTGTGACAAGTATTTACATATTTTATATGTTTGTAGACTTTCTGTTTTCAGAATAAATCTGTAAACAAAGCGTGGGAGATCCAATCATTATTTCTGAGAAGAATACAAATGCTAAAACCTTGGTGATGTGAAAGAGATGGGGTAGCTAAAGTAATGGATCAAGTAGAGATTATAATTATCATTCAAAGTTAGGAGGGTAATGTGCAGAACTAAAGATAAAAACGTAGCTGAGAAAAACTTTAAAGGATGTAGTATAAGTGAGGTAAATTCTGCCTCTTTCATTGTGAGGAAAATACTGGATCTTCCTTAATAAATAGGTAGCTATAATTGATGAAGTAGAGGTCTAAGCATATTATTTAAAGTTGTGGAGGTAATATTTAGTTATTCTAACTAAAGTCAGAAATAGAGAAGACGGTTATCCTCTGAGGATTGAGATTGGGAGTAGGGGACAGAGATGCTTTTATTTTCCATTTTATTTCCTCCTATAACTGTTTGTATTTCTAGTTCTGTGTTCATTTATTACTTTTCAAATAATACAAAAAGAAGAATCAACAAAAGAAAAGCTAAAGCTGAGGTGCTGTGACAGAAGAATTAAAACAATTGTGGGAAACTGAGCAATATCAAAGCAAAGTCAGTTAGCTGGACATCTAGGATAGGCTTATGAATATTAGTTATATAGTTTATTGCATCCACTGATAAACTTCCCATATCAAGAAAATTTGTACCCTATCGTGGTTTATTGGAAATGAACCTACTTAATTTGAGTTATAAAATAAATTCATAACAATGTCACGGATACATTCATTCACTGGACAAACATTCTTTAGTGGAGTAAATTCATGTTGTTACTCTTCTATGCCTGTCCCTGGTGTGCTTCAAGATGGTCTAAAGGAAAGCTCGCAATGGGTTTCTCGAGTGGAGTTAATTATGTTTATGTTTCTTTGTTACTTGAAGTATAAAGTGTTAAAACGAGAAAGAGTTTTTGAGATCATCTTCTTCAGTAAAGGGGAGATTTTTTGGAACACACATAACCAGGAGTCATAATGTCAGTGGATAGGACTCCGGACGTGTGGTTTTTGAAAAGGGTTCCCCTCCCTCATTGATACTAATGTGAACCCTAGGTGAGAAGCACTCGTCTCATCCAGCCTCTTCATTTACGGAAGTGGAAACTCAGGTACTGTAGTTCACATAGCTAGTTATAGGCAGAGCAGAGATAGACCACTAGCATCATGTGTTTTTTATTGCTCTAGTTTTGAAAACCTCTGGTCTCTCTTTACTTCTGCTGCTGTGTGTGGTTTCCATAGTGTGCTTTCTTGACTTCCCAGTCTGCCTATTTTAGCTTAAATGCCTTTTTTCTTTTACAAACTCATCTCCTTGTAAAACTTACTGTCTCCTTATTACAGACTTTCAATCAACTCTGCTCTTTTCAGCCTCACTTCTACCCTCATTTTTAGTAGTATCCAGTCTTTCCAATTCCTGAGCTAATACCAGTCAGCCTACTTCTGACTTAGAATTCTGCTTCATACATGCTGAATCAGTTAGTAGTTTATCCACCTAGTTTCCATCATCCAAAGTTTTGTTGGTATCTTTTCCAATTTTTTTATCCCTGTGTGTCTGTACCTTTTTATATTTCTTTCCTGCCATTCCTTTGCTGTTCAATCCACCAACTTTAATCAAAGCTCCACAAACCTCAAATAAAAAAACATTCCAGTAGAGAACAATCACTGATATGTTAGTAAAGCAACAAAATGAAGTGCTCTTAAAATGAAATTTGCACATATGATGAAACTGCTTTGTTGATGAGTTCTTTCTAAGACCTCTAACAAGATAACCATTCCAGGTACTTTTGTCAGAGGATTGGGTTTGGCAAAACTTTAGATAAATGCACCTTTCTCTTATTTCTCATTTTCCGGGATTTAGGAAAGTTGTCCTTTGGCTAGTGGTTTTCAGTGAAATTAAAATTTGCATTTTTCTAGTTTCCCTCAAAGAACTTAAAGTAAAATATACAACTTCTACAGAGGGCAGAAGAATACCTTATTGTTTGAAGAGAAGTTGGGTGATGGTGATAGTAATAATTACTAGTATTTACTGATCACTTCTGTGTGCTATTTGTTTTACAAAACAGTATCTTTTATTAATCCTCAGAATGCCATGAGTGGATATTGTTGTTTCCTTTTTACAAATGATGAAATAGCTTTTCTAAGGTTAAGTTGCCCAAGATTACATGGTTAATGTTAGGCATGCTATCAAACCTTCTGTCTGGCTCTAAAATCCTTTCTTTTTCCACTTTTCTGCCTTGTTAGACTCATACTTATTTTAATAACAGCAACAACAATGATAGTTGATAACTTACATAGCACTTAATCTGTTCCAGATGCTACTTTAAACTCTTTATATATGTTGACATATGTAATTCTCACCCCTTAACCTTATGAGGTAGGCACCATCATTATCCTCTTTTATGGAGGTCACAGAGATTAAGTTACTTGCTCAAAGTCGATTAATTACGGTTATAATGAGTAGAGCCAAGATTCTAACACAGTTGTTTGGTTGTTATTGGAGCAGATGAGAATTTTTATATTTGTTCTAGTTGATTACTGAGTCTGTTGAAAGGGCTGTAAACTTTAAAAACAGAAAGTAAATAAATATTTGGGTTCTTTTTTCTTTAAAGCTATGAAAAAGAAATATGAAAATTAAACATCTTGCTTGCAGCTGAAGACTTCTAGTTAGTATACCAATCCTTACCAAGAAAAGGTGACTAAATGCAGGAGGGAGGAGGAAGAAGGGGGAGTACTCTGTGTTTCAGTATTGGAGTTCTGGCGTTAGCATTTGCAGATGAGAAAAGCTAAAGAATTTTCTCTGAATTATCACCACAAGACATTCAAATGGAAGGACGCCATTCTGAGGTTCCTGGTTGATGCTTTGACTTTCCAGTATTAAACTCCTTGCTTTTTATTTGGTTTGTCCCCTTCTCCCCCTACTCCTCCTCCCAAAAAGTTACTTTAAAAGGAAGAATAGTAGCAAGTTCTTCAGGAAGTTTTTTGGTCTTTTTCTTTATAACCAGTATGACCCATTAGCAGTCTGACTTCATTAGTTCAGACACTTGGCTATAAAAAATTCCTTTTTCATCTTGATGATTGTTTTGTTTTAACTCTTATGATTTAGGAAGGAATATATTTTCTTCTTTATTTTTTGTTCTTTACCTATTAAGATTCTGTGTTTTGGTTTGTGTGGCTAGCTTCTATAACTTTCATAGAAGTTTATAATTCTATGACTTTCATAAAACACATTTTAGAAAATTTATACTCCTGCCAGCATGGGATAAGCCCCCTGTAGCCTACCTTTTCTGCTTATTAGATCTAAAAACAGTGGACACAATACAAGAGCAACTATGTAAGTAAACAAAAGCAAGCAGATGGTAGTAGGAAGTCAAAACTCAGAGAGGCAACCAGTTTGGGGGTGAGTTTCCTAGTTTTTGTTTTGTTTTTCTTTTCTCTCATGGCTTGGTACTGGCAACTGAAACTCTGATAGAAACCTCATTTTTCTGGCTAGAGGAACCAAGAAAAGGGACCCTGCAGTCTAACAAACTGGGGGGAATCCGCTTGTTTTTTTGCCCTTTCCTGGCTTTGCTGCTAAGATAGACCCGGTTGCTCAGCTGCAGCTGCAGTGGCAGTGCTGCAAGAGAAACCCTGCCTTTCCTGCCTGAGGAGCCAGGGAAAGGGGCCCTGTGGGCCAAAGATATGAGAGAAGTCTCAGAAAAGAGAGATGGATAAGGGTGTCCCTCGTTTTGTGTATGACCAGCACGAGTACTAGGCTAGACATGCATAAGTCAGACCCACAGCAGCATTCCAAAGGCTTTGAGAACTGAACTTCAGTTAGAACTGAACTGCTCAGGGAAATTGAGAAAGAACTTGTGGCCTGAACCTAACTGACCTGATTGCCTACTAAAACAAATTCTCTGGTGGATTATAGGAGGTCACAGGACTCAGTCAACATAACATAACATTTAAAATGTCCAAGATATAATTCAAAATTATGCTACCTACCCAACACCAGGAAATTATAACCGTTTCTCAAAGGAAAAGACAGTCAACAGATGTCAACCCCAAGGTCGCCCAGATATTGGAATTATCAGGTGTAAACTTTAAAGCAGCTGTTATAGCAATTCTCCGTATCGTAAAGGTAAACACACTTGAATGAATGGATAGAAGTTCTTAGCAGAGAAATAGAAACTATTAAAAAGAACCAAATGTAAATTTTAGAACCAAAAAATATAATATCTAAAATAAAAAGTTCACTGGGTGGGCTCATCAGCAGAATGGAGTGACAGGAAGATTCAGTAAACTTGAAGATAGATGAATAGAAATTATTCTATTTCTATTAAGACTATTCTATAGTCTTAAGAAGAGAAAGAAAAAAATGGATTGGAAAAAAAAATGAACAGAGCCTTAAGGACCTAACTTTTGTGTCACTGGAGTCCCAGAAAGAGGAAAAAGAGATTACTCTACATACAAAGAACTAGGAAAGAATAGCCAATTCTTAAGGGAAAAGGCAGCCTCTGCAAAAAAGAATAAGTCTTTTATAAGACAGAAATCAGGGTAAAATTTCTTTTTAAAACCTTGGGAGCCTTTGGAACGGTGTACTCAAGAATGTCAGTTTAAAGAGCAGAACAGAATTGTCTTAAATAAAGTACTGAAACACTTTCTCTTGTAAAGAATGCTAGTTGCCTACCTCTTATCTATTTCTTCCTTATTCCTTCTTAAATGAATGCCAGTCATTGCGAGTAGCAGTGTCTCCAGCTAAAATCTGCATTACCCAGCTTTTGCAGATGCAGTGGCATTGGGATACAGTTCTGGCCAGTGAAATGTAAGTAAAAGTTGTTCCATGGGGCTTCTAAGAAATCCTCTTAAGAGGGCCACGGGGGTAGGAGTAGAATGGGAGTGTAGCAGGCTGCACAGTTAGGCTTTTTTTGTCCTTTGTCCATTCTCTTTTTGGTCTGTGGCAGCAGTTCTTAACCAGGGGTGACTTTGACCCTTAGGAGAAATTTGGCAATGTCTGGAGACATTCCTGGTTGTTACACCTGGGGGTTGCTATTGGCATCTAGCAGGTAGAGGCCATGGTATGACTAAACATCCTACAGTATACAGGACAGCCCCCCACAAGAAAGAATCATCTGGTACAAATGTCAATAGGCCAAGTTGAAAAACCTTGCGCTATGGAATGCTGGCTTGATGTTGGAGATTGAGCAGCCATTTTGTGAGTAAAAGGTAGCAAGTCCCTGTCTGAACCAAAAGATAAAAGGAACTGAAGTCCCTGATGACATTGTGGCACTGCTATAACAGCCCCAGATTGTGTACTTCCAGACACCTCATTATAAGAAAAAGAAAAGACCTAATTTCTTTAAGCTAAAAGAATTCTCTTCCCTTACACATTTCCTAATTGATAGAGTATTTATTTAGAAATTGTTAGTTATAAAGATTAGGGCAACTAAAATATAAATAGTCATGAAGAGGTCTTAGACATTGAAAAGAATAAGGAAAAGCTTACCATGATATATCTGGGCAAAGAGGTATTTTGAAGAAATTATGCTTGGTGTGCAGAGGAGTATAAAATCTAGCAAAATATCAGAATTGCTGGGTTACTGTCATACGTTTGCCTGTTGTTGAAAGAGTAAAGAGATCTTAAAAGGAGTTGAGGGCCGGCCCTGTGGCTTGGTGGTTAAGTGCGCGCGCTGCAATGCTGGTGGCCCGGGTTCGGCTCCCGGGTGCGCATCGAGGCACCACTTCTCCGTCCATCCTGAGGCCGAGTCCCACATACAGCAACTAGAAGGATGTGCAGCTGTGACATACAACTATCTACTGGGGCTTTGGGGGGAAAAAATTAAATAAATAAAATCTTTAAAAAAAAAAAAAAAAAAAAAAAAAAGGAGTTGATACCATTTTGTGGGTTTCTTTAATGAGGCACTTTTTGTCACTACTATAATATATTTCACTCTGGCACCAGAATTTGGTCACTCCACTTCCACTAGATCTGCAGTTTGCTTGGATCACGTATGGACGTAACTGCTTTCATCTCCATTGCCTGGGGTTGCAGATTCATTAAAGGGAAAGTGATGGAGGAAGCAGTATATACACTGTGGAAAAGTAAGAGGTAATGTTGGTTGAGCTCTTTGGGATCCTTTTCTCATTACGAGGGCAACATCAAAGCTAAAACACTGTGTCCAAGGGTGTCCAGCCTTGGAACTCAATTAAAATGATGCTGTCATTTGAGATTATGCCACACTAAGATCTATGGAACTAAAGCTGTTTGTTCTGACCTAAGAGAGTAGAGGTATAGCAATAATTGACAGAAACAAAAAATAGAAAATTCAACATAAAAAATTCCCTAACCTAACCATGAAATTACCTCATACTCTCAATAAAGTGGTATTTCTTTGCTATATACATGCTGGTTCTAGCTGTCACAGAGCAGAGCTATATTCACCTAAATTATAGGGACCCTACAAGTAGCCATTTATGGAATACAAGAACTTAGTGCACTTGTAAATTTGTACCTGTGACAGCCTGATTCTCACTGCAGAATTTTAAGGGTGATAAATACCCCCAAATCTTCTAATCTGTTCCCTTACTATTCTAGGAAATCACATATTAGTAAAAGATATAGATTCTACCCTAAAGGGTTTCAATCTAATGAAGCTAACAGTAAACATATACTTGATCTGTCCACTAACATTTCAAACTCAGCATGACTAAAATTGAACTCTTGACTTCCCTTCCAAATCTGTAACACCTTCATCTGTCTAGCTCAGTAAGTGGCACTCTCATTCTTTCTATTTCTCAGGAAGAAAATCTTTGGAATCATAATTGACATCTGGAGGTGAGAGAGTCTCACCTCCAGATCCAATCCATCACCAAATCCAGCCCATTCTTCCTTCTAAATATATCCCAACTCCTACCATTTCTTACCACCTTCACTGCCACCCTAGTCCAGCTCCACTTTTCACCTGGATTACCTCCTAGATTTTATCTGGATGAAATGTAGATCTATATTCACATGAAAACCTGTATGTGAATGTTTATAGTGGTTTTATTCATATTCACTAAAGGCTGGAAACAATCCAAATGAGCCTACTTGGCAAGAAAAGGAGTGGACTATTGATATACACACTACATACATGAATTTCAAGTGCATTATGCTAAGTGAAAGAAG